ACAAAACATTACAACTATGTAGTTAGAATGTAAAGTTAAAAGACGTACACTGCTTGAAGGGCGGGAAATCGCGGCTGACCGAATCGCGATTGGTTTAGCTTTGAATCTGATTGGATAAGAAAGTGACGCGAGTTTTCTGGACCAGTCACAGAGGGAAGGAAACCAAAACTAAACCAATTGGGAATTACATGCGACAGTCAATTGAAAATTCTTTTACATGATTTGTGGTACGTAAAGAAAGATTATGTGAGTGTAAGTGTTGTTTATTTGTTGCTGTTTCTCTCTAGTGCACCTCCGACAGCTCTTTTACCCAAGGCTAGGTACGAGAGAATTATCGAAGCATTCGGAGGAAAAGGTTTCTTTGCAGAGACACCGCATGAACTGAAAACTGCGTTGGAGAGCGCTTTCGTCGAGACGGGAAAGAAAAGGAAACCAGTTTTGATAAATGTCATGATAAGCCCTTATGCCGACCGTAAACCGCAGGTAAAATAATCGGCAAATGCATAGATTGAGCAACCTCCAAGTTCGTCATTTCTAATCGGTGTCGACGGTAACCACCCCTCACTCTTTAACTCCCGTGAGTGATCAAGGTAGAATTTCTCCTTACACAATATCAATACAATGTCAAGCAGACGGGTGATGAGGGTAAAGAAAAATATCAATTGGTTGATAATTAGTTGATCCAATACCAAAATCTCCGAACTTATGAGGCGTGAGTGGTCCAGCGGTCAGTTGCGCTGGACTCTGAGTCGGATGGCCCGGGTTCAAGTCCTGGCTGGGGTAATACGTTGTGTCCTTAAGCAAGTCGCTTCACTCACATTGCTTCGTCTTCTCGGATAAGACGTAAAGCTGTAGGTCCCGTCTCCTGCAGGGTTAGGGGGTAGGAGACGTTAATTTCCCACGCCCGAGACTACTGTGTGATGGATGTCCTCCCCTGGGGTGGGATGGGTGGGAAGGTGAGATCGTTACATGGACTGAAGCGGCTGCCAGAGGCGCCTGATAAAATGCTGACGTCCGATCTCAACCTTAACAACAACATGTAAAGTGCTATTGATCAGCACATGTAAATATGCGCTATATAAATTGGTAAATTATTAAATTATTATTATAACTGACATCATAAGAACTGTATGGCAGACAGTAAGAAGAATTGCTGATGAGATATTGTGAGTGAAAGAGTTCATCATTCCTGTCCCAATTTGGGTCAAGATTACCTCTTCGATATTTGCCTTCGCCAGCAAGCGATTCTTTCCAAAGTTTTAACCTGTTAAAATTCCCTTTCCATGGCCCTAAGAGTAAGTCAAAATGTCGTCACCCAGCTCTTTAATAGTCACCTCGCCTTGCTGTTCTGTGACATCTCGGTAGCAATTACAAAACAAAGTTGATGAAAGGGCGTGAGCCGTAAAACCGTAGGCGTTAGAACCGTTTTATCGCCGCACTTGTTCCGAGGGTCCTTTTTCTCTCTCTTAAGAGAAGGACCCTTGGTACAAGGTTGTTTATTTGTTCCAATAAGTGAGTCGGTATGTTATAATTCAGCGCTAAATCACTTTGACATGGAGGGGAAGGGACAGTAGCTAGGTATTTGGTTACAAAATCCAATTAAGACTGTTAATTTTATTCCGTCGATACGTGAGTGGAAATCTTTGGAGAGAGCAAGGAGGAGTTTCCTAAAAACTACGGCGTCTAGGAGGCTAACTAATTTTACGTTCTACATTTGCTTGCAGGAGTTTTTCTGGCTGACACGCTCAAAGATGTAAAGTTGATTGTCGTGGGAAATCACGAATTTTGAAGGCAGTGCGAGATGAAAGGAAATTAAAAGGAACACACTGAAGTGGAAAAGAGGCCAGAGCTTGCTATTCTGAATCACAATCTTTCACAATCACAATAAGTAGCTTGCTGTGGGGTTGGAAAAATCCCGAATGAATTGATATAAGCTTTCTACTGAAGACGGAATCAATACTCAGCGATTAAATCTAATTTTTATGCTCTTCAAGCTGTATTGGCCGCTAAATTCTCATTAACGGCTGCTCAATTTTGACTTTCCCCCACCCCCACAGTTCACTGTACAAGATCGAAGCAAGCCTTAGTTAACCTTCCCGACAGCTTTACACCAGAGCTAGTCGAGTCGGTCGAGTTTAAACAAAGGCCCTGAAGATAGGCAATGCCTTGGTAGATATCCAAGGGAAACAGACGCTGGGTACAACCACATACATTGTTGCTTGAGTAACACTTTTAAGAAATTTGTGAATTAAAACGAAATGAAAAGTTGAACGTATATGAGAGTTAAAGCCCTATGAATGGAGTTTTCTCAGCAGGCGTCTTGAAAAACGAGTTATCTCAGGTGGCGTTGGTAAAGCTAAAGCGAAGTTATCAGAGATCGTGATGGTTTTGATTCACTACGACTTGTGATTTGTCTTGGAAACTCATTCGTTTAACTAATACTGAGTCAAACTTTAACCAATCACGACTGCGTTTTCATAGGGATCCCGTTCGCTGGCAAACGTTTTTCCCGCATTTATGGTCGTTTGCATGCATTTACGTATGATGTCTTGTCAGTAAACTCCTTTTCCTGTTGACCTGCGCTATGAATGGCTTTGGTGTAATTACGTTAGTTTTCAAGGTTTAAACGTACTTAGTCGAAAACGTCTTTTTCATTACATTCAGCTAATGCTTGTTATCGGACATGCTTTAATCACTACCTTGAAAGGTAAAGTTTGTAGGGAAAGAGAGTTGCACTTCAAAAAAACAAAGTTACGTAGTTAGGAACTTTACCTTAAAGGAGAATATTCAACCCAAAACAACTTTTTGGGCGTTAAGCATGCAAAGGGAATGAAAAATCTCTCCATCCACCGCACACCGATAAAATCCCGTATCGAGTGATACTCGTTTCCGACGGCACCATTTTGTGACATTAGACACACTTGCAGTTAGGAATTCATAATAGAAACAAACGTACCGAACCTCCATGCTTCCTCTAAGAATCTTTTCTCATTAACCTAAAGGTCGGTTTCGATTCTTTTCAGCACCTTATTCTAGAGATTACCTCTCACCAACGTATATGAAGTACCTATCTTTATGTGAGGCCGCAGTACATTCCGCTGTACATGCGTCTTCTCTTTGTTTTCATTTGGCTTTTGGCGTTGATCTTCAAAAAAAAGATTTTCATCAGTCGATCTTAGAAAATCTGGAAAAGACGTCTACCACAAAGAATTTACCACACAAAGAGACATGTCAGCCGGAGAATCTTGGAGTCGTGAAGTTCACGGAAAATTCAACGAACTCTTGACCTCGTTTGAAAAACGTGAGAGCGAGCTGACAAGATTGAGCGAGCAACTCGAAAGAGATCGGGCTGAATTTGAACAAGAAATGAAGACCAGGCGAGAAAAAGAGGAAATGGAAATTCAAGAACAATACAAAGATATTGACGAGACCAGGCGACGGATCGAAAAAGAAAAGAAAAGAATGGAAGAGGTGCATGAATTTCAGTCGTCACCTGTTCATCTTAATATAGGAGGGCATCGTTTCACAACTTCCCTTCAGACACTGAGGCGAGATAAAGACTCGATGCTGGCTACCATGTTTTCTGGGAGGCACAAACTTCTACAAGAACCAGACGGGAGTTATTTCGTGGACAGAGATGGCACTCATTTCCGGCACATTTTGAATTATCTCCGCGATGGCGTTAGACCTGATATGCTTCCCCAAGATGAAGTATCCCTGAGGGAGATCATAAACGAGGCGCAGTATTATCAACTCAATGATCTAGTGGCTGGCGTTGAGAATGTGTTGGATCCGCCGCCGCCGGCACCAGACTTCACCCAGGACGAAATCAATAACCTATTAGCGACCTTGACGAGACAAGCTTGCTCCAGCACCCGTCCTTCATCATCAAGTCAGCAGGTGCCTAGACCAGATTCAGGATTAAGCTCCTCTAGATTTAAAAATGCAGACTTTGTCTTCCACAACATGACCAAAAGTACTCTAGATTTCAGTGGTAAAAACCTGTCAGGTCTTTCCTTTGCTCATACCACCTTTGCGCATAATGTTTCATTTGCAGAAGCTTGTCTGGTAAACACATGCTTCTATGGCTGTGAGTTTTCTAGTTATGTGGTGGTTGATTTCACAAATGCTGACATCTCAGGTGCAGATTTCCGACAATGTCGCTGTATACAAAGTGGCCCTAATGCATTCAGTAGTCTTGGGGGTGTCCCAGCAGGTACTGGTGGTTTTATGTTTGGCTCCAGCTGTTCCAGTTTTACACAGCTAATAAAGACAGGTCATGTCAAGTTTACTGGTGCACGGCACATTGGTACCAAATTTGAGCCACATATTATTGATTTCATTAGTTTTTGATGTAGAGGAGTGTTAATTTTAATATYWMYAC